CTGAAAAGGTTGTCGCTGGTGAAGCTCATCTTTCATCACAGTGCTGGTGGCGGCGTTTGTGCACCCCGCGGGGCAGTTTAGGGGAGCCCCGAGAGGGAGCAAGCGGGCTGGGTGGTCCGTCCTCCCTCGCAGGCTGCCTGAGGCTGCTGTTCACAGCTTGCTTGTGCTTTCTCTCCCCCAGGGTGCTCTCCTCAAGGGCAAGCGCTGCGTGGTCCTGGCGGATGGCTTCTATGAGTGGCAGCAGCACAGTGGGGGGAAGCAGCCGTATTTCATTTACTTCCCCCAGAGCAAGGACGCCATGGTACGGAGTCCCTCGCCGTGTCTGAATGCTCACACCCAGCTCTGAGCCCCTGCTCCCTCCAGCTGCTCTGGGAAAAGCCCCCTTCCCTCCAGCTGTGCCCATCTCTGGGGGTCTCTGTTTCCCAACGGGGCTCTGTTCCACAGCGGGCTCGGCACTCTGGCATCCCTCTGCGGCTGGCGGTCCCTGCCGCTGCAGTCCCCTGGCTGTAAACGGTGCCGCAGCGTCCCCGCCGTCACGCTCGCTGGTCCCCATGTGCCGGATATTTGCATGGGTGGGCAATGTGTCTCGCAGGGGACTGGGCTGGGAGTTTCGCTACCTCTTTCCTTCGGCTGAGCCGGCAGCCAGGATGTTCAGAAGGGGAGGAGGGTGCTGGCTTGCCTGCGGGAAGATGAGGCTCCCGGTACCTCTCCTGGAGTTACCTCAAATTAGTAGAAGGGCTCCTGCAAAGCCCTCAGATTAGTTCAGTTCATGACTTAGATCTGAGTCATTGACCTGCCATGGCACTGGCAAGTCTGTGATGCTTCAGCTGCCCATGGGTTGGCACTGACTGGGGCGATGGGGCCTCTCCAGCAGGCCGAGGGGAAGGAGGGAGACGAGGAATGGAGGGGATGGAGGTTGCTCACCATGGCTGGGATTTTTGACTGCTGGGAGCCGCCGGCGGGAGGAGAAACTCTGTACACTTACACCATCATCACTGTGGATGCCTCCAAGGACGTGAGCTTCATCCATCACAGGCAAGTGAGAGCGGGCAAGGGGGCTGCAGGGCGGTGGGGGGGCGACAGAGGAAAGCCTTTAAACACCAGTCTGGCAGCACGGAGGCAAGGAGTCCTGCCTCCTCCTAATGTCCTTGGAGAGAAACGCTACATTACCAGCTCGTTTCGGGTCACCGGCTCATGCCCTTTCCATAAATCACCATCTTTGTGCCCCGGCAGGTGGCAGTCAGAGTTGGGTCACTCTCTGGAGTTGGATCACTCTCCGCCTGACCGGGGCCTGGCAGTCAAGCCCTCTGCCTCTTCCAGCAAAGCAGCTACCTGGGTGAAGCGAATGTGCGCTCTGCCTTGCAGAAGAGCATCCTGCTGCTTCGGTTTTCCTCGTTTCCCCCTGAGCTGCCAGCTCCTTGCTAGCTTACAAGCCTGGCTTTTGCCACCTGGCTCTGCCACATCAGCGCTGGGCTTGGGCTTTGGCTCTGACTGTCTTGTCCCCTAGGATGCCAGCCATCCTGGACGGGGACGAGGCCATCAGGAAATGGCTGGACTTCGCTGAAGTGCCAACCCAAGAAGCAGTTAAACTCATCCAGCCCACAGAGAACATCGTTTTCCACCCAGTATCCACCTTTGTCAACAGTGTCCGCAACAACGCGCCCGAGTGTCTCGTGCCCATCGAGCTGGGAGCCAAGAAGGTGAGGGCTTGGCAGGGGAGAGCTTGGCCACGGTGACGTCCCTGAGTAGGGATGGTGCTGCCAATTTGCAGGAGGGGTAGCAGCAGGCAGCGTCTGTGGGGCATGCGTGCGCTTGATGCTGGAGTGCAGAGCCCTGAACAGATTCTCTTTCCTCCGCTTCCAGAAATAAACTGTCACCCTATGCCAGGATTTCTCTGCCAAATGAGGCAAATTCCATGTGAAATGGGGCTTGGAACAAGCCTGTTCCAGCAGCCGGGGGAACCTCCTGCAGATGTACCTGATTGCAGGCAGGGCCGTGGCTCCAGCCTCTGCATCCTGCTCTGGACCAGCTCTCGGAGTCAGCTGCCTGCCGTGCTCTCGCTGTGCTTCTGACTTCTCTCCCACTGTCTTTTGTCTCTCCAGGAGGTCAAAGCCACCCCAAGCAGCAAAGTGATGCTGGGCTGGTTAAAAAACTCCCAGGAGGGCTCTCCCCAGAAGAAAGAAAATGATTTGCCCAGGTGGACGAGTCAGTTCACCCACAGCCCTTCGCCCAAGAAAAGCAGCGCGGATATCCTGCAGCAGTGGCTGGGGAAGGAGGGAGAGCCGGCTGCGAAGAAGCGCAAAGCTTAGGCACCATCTAGGGTGGCTGGCCATCCTTTTCCCTCCTGATTTTCCTAAGCAGAATGAGGAACATTTTTTGGAAGGCTTTGCAGATGGCTGTTGAGATTCTCCAAGCCTCTCAGGTGTTGTTTCAATGCTCTAGGTTGTTGTCTCTCTTCTTCGTGTTTTGTTAAAGGTTGGTGTTTGTCTTTAAAGGTTTTGGCTTTGTCTTGTGCTGACGGGAGTGGATATAACATGCTGGCCTCCCTCCCTGGCAGTCGCTTGTGCCAAGCGCAGATAAAGCCTTCAGAAGCATCTCAGCCTGCTGGGGAGGAGTAGCTTCTGCCTTCTGACAACGTTCACAGTTCACGTCTCCTGTTTTCTTTTCTTTTCCTTTCCTTTTTTTTGGTATTAAACTGATACCTTGTTTCCATTTAATTCCATATTGATTCTGTACAAATTCCTTTTGAATACTCTCGCCCTCAAAAGATGGCTGCAGTACAGAGGAACATGCAATAAATACTAGGAGGAAACCCCAGGCTCAGGAAGATCTGCCAGAGTCATCCCGCTCTGCACCAGCATTGCCATGTGCATTTGTGGCTCCTAAACAGGGAGATGTTTAAGCGGTGCCTGGGAGGAACTGGGCTTTGCTTGGGTTTCCCTGCAGGCAGCGGGGTGGGACAGTGTGTCTTGGTCACGTTGTTTGTACAATCGTTTTGTTAACGGGATTTGAAGACTTAGAGAGGATTTTCTTGATCTGTGGAGGGATGTGCTCTGCCTTGTTCATAAAGGTCATTCATCAAAGCCCAGATAACCAAAGTGCCATTACAGAACAGCATAGGGCAGTTGTTTCTGAGGTCAGGGATTTTGTAAATGGAGCCAGATGTTACAGACCAAAAGCCTTACGCAGTGGGACCCTTGCTGGAAAGCAGTACTTCATTTGTGTTGGAAACAATAAAATGGGATTAACTGGTTGAAGGGGCCGTGCCCTTGTCCGTGTGTGTGTCTGTGTCACCCTTGCCCACTGCAGCTCCGTTGCTCCTGTTTCGCAGGCAGAGCTCCTATCTCCTCTCCATCTGCTGAGGGGGAGACCAGCTATGAGCTGCTGAGCTCTCAGGGTACCGGCAGGGCCATGTTGCTGGAGCATTTCCATTTGCCAGTGGAAAATATTCCCCAGGGATTTATTTTGGGGCTTCTCTCGAATGATCTGTCCCTGGGGAGCTGCAGGGGCAGCCGTAGCTGGGGCTCATCCCTGGGGAGGGATAGCAGAGCCAAGGCAGGAGCCACAGGACAGGCATCCGGGGAGACCCGAGCACTCTTGGAGCCAAATCTGTCTCTGAATCCCTCACATGCCATGGAGGTGGCTGAGCCCAGAAGGTCTCCTGGCTTATGGGAAGCTGGGGTGGGATTAGGACTTCCAGCTAGAAAGCCTGTTGCTAGCTGGCTCCTCATCGCTCCCATGGTGACTTGAGACAAGAGAGTCACTGCATTAGTAGCTCCTGGCAGAATAAACAGGTCTTCAGGTGCTGAGGCTGTCCCCTCAGTGCCTGTCCTTGCAGGAGCCACAGGGGAGGTTCCTCTCCCTGCCCAGCCATCGCTTCTCCAGGGTGAGCAGCTTAGCTGCCCTGGCCTGGTTGGTGCTAACTGCAGATCAGGCTTTTCCAAAGGTCACCGGCTCATCTCAAATTCATTTCAGGTCTCCAGTTGCTGTGGAGGGAGTGAAGATGCTGAGCACGAGTGGGGGACGGTCACCTTTCCCCGCTCTGGGGTACATAATCCTTCCCTCGGGGAGGCAGTGGTGAGGCAAAGACTCAGGGTACAGATTATCTCCCTCCAGGCTGTGAGCATCAGCAGCACCATCACTGAAAAAAACTATGCTGAGGGTTTAATGAGGAGGTGTTATTGCTGAACCACATCGCCCAACGCCGTTTGCAGCAGTTGCTCCTACCTGGCGAGGAGATGACCACGCTCAACTCGGTGTGACCTGGCCCCAAAAGCTGGCCTGGGGGCAACTTTCCCCTTTGATGCATGATGCTCTGGCAGGGAGGGCAGCGCTCGCTGCGGGCGGGGGGCATGCTTCGGGGGGCGGACACCGGAGCATCCCCC